AAAAAAAAAAAAAAAAAAAAAAAAAAAATAAAAAAAAAAAAAAAAAAAAAAAAAATTCAAATAGAAGAAGAAAAGAAGAAATTTAGTTTATAGTGCCGCACATCAAATACGCTTCTTAATTATCACAGTTGGTAAATTGTATGTATATGTATTAGTATGTATAGAGCAAATAGATCTATGTAAATGAGATCTTCTAATATTATTCTGAAAATTTGTATATGTGAGCTAAGCCTTGACATGTAAGAAATTATATAAATATATATTGCTGTGAATATTTATTTTCATATATTTATGTTTCCAAGTCTTCTTTTCCTGCTACGGCCTTAATCGACTTTCTAATGGAATATCTCTATTCCATTTCTTTTCATCCACTATTTATTTCAAAATCTCATTTGCTCTGTCTCTTTGCTCCTGCCTCTGTCTCTGCCTCTGCCACCATGTTCGTAGTCCTCACTGTCTGCGTCTCCGCCTCCGAATCCTCCTCCGGCCTCTGTTTCCTGTTACCCCTTAGATGCCGTCTCCTCCATCGCTTGTGCTTTCCTTTTCCCTCTATCTTCTCCATCTTAGCCTCCCTCTGTTATCACCATTTTAGCCTCGCTCTTCCTTCGCCTGCTCACTCTTCCTCTACAGCTTAACTCTCATCATAGCTGATATGCTCCCTGCAAAAGGGCATCAGTTCCGCTTTGGTTTTGGCTTTGTGCTGTAATGCTTATCGCTCGATTCTAGCCGAGCGCCTGCCAGTGCCGCGTGGCTTAGCAGCGCCATGTGTCTGTGTATGTGTGTGTGTGTGTGGTGCCTTTAATTAAAAGTTCGAAGACAAATTAAGTGAAGAGAGACACAGAAAGACACAGAAAAACACAAATTAATTGTTGGCCAAAAGACGGCAATTAGACGGCAACTCGCCTGCGGCTCGCTTTGCGTAATCTGGCGCGCTGCTTGGCTTAAAAGCAACGCCGACTGGACGCCGAGCCTGCAGTTGAAAGTTATGGCTGCTGAATTGCGCATTTCGCATTGCGCATGCGCCGCGTGGGCCGAGGATAAACAGCAGAGCTGCCCTTTCCATTCCTTCTTCTGATTTGTTTTTGTTTATCTTTTTTTTATGTTACATATTTTTTGAAAGTGAGCTCAGACACATGTACTTGAAGAGCTTTGATGATGCAACAGTATGCTAAAAACTTCCCGAAATATTTCAAGCCACTGCGAATGTTGGCAAATACTGTTGCTCTTGTTATATAAGTTGAAGCCGTGACAGCTTTCAAGTAGCTCCGCGCGTTAACAAATTCCATAGCCAGCTGGCTCAACCTCTAATCACACTCGTCTATAATAATCCGTTTACATTTTGACCATCTATTTGTAAACATTTGTGATCATATTTATTGTAAAAGTCGATATAAAACGTTTTTCTTTTTATGAACATATTTATAAAGGGTATTGATACTCAATCTTAATGAAATAAATATTTACTTAATACCAACTTAATCTAAAAAAATATTAAGATACTTAAAGCAGGTTTTTCTTATATTAAGCAATCTGTATTGCAATGCGGCAGTGAATCAAAAGTTGGCTTCGACTGGTATATCAAAGCTTTATTGCTTCATAGAGTTGTCGGAGCTTATAATAAAAGCGCATTATACTATTAAATCTAAAATTGCTGAAAGCTAAAGACTTAGTAGAATCAGTTGAAGGATTTGATGCGATGAGGCAGATCTAGTAGTCGAAGAAGTACAGACAGAGATGGAGACATTGGCAGAGACACATGTGCAAATAGAGACAGAGATAGAGACAAAGAAAAAGACGAGAGTCGGGAAAAAGGGTTGAAGCAAAGAAAGACCAGAAGGGCATAGACCAATAGCAAGGAAGAAGTAAAGGCAGCGGTGGACGAAGAGGATGATGCAGATTCGAATAATAGATAACCGAATAGGCAGAGCTAGATACCGAAATAGAGACAGTGACTGAAGCTTGGTTAATGTATGATCGAACGTTCTATATTCTATATAGGGCAGAAGCTAGGGCAGATTGCAGAGGCGGTAGCCGAGTCAAAAGCAGAAGCAAGGTTTGAAAAAGAGCAAGAAGCAGAGTCAGATGCATAAACAGATGCCAAAACAAAGACAGAGAAAGACGCAGTGACAGAAACAGAGGCAGAGACTGAGGTAATATCATAGAAAGAAAAGGAAAGTACAGTAAATAAAAGGACAGTACATGAGATAAAGAGCGAGGCGGAGACAGAGACACAAGCAGAAGTATAAGAAGCAAACCTAAAGGCAGAGGTGGAGTAGACGAAGAGGATAATGCACTGGTAGAGATTGATAAGGAGTAGTAGAAGAGGATAAGGCCCACTCTGATTTATAGTAACAGAGACAGAAACTGAGGTAAGCCTTACCCGTGGCCATCCAGAACGAGATAGGCCTGATAGGAGAGAAGCCCACAGATGTTTATAGAAAATTTACAGTTGTGAGCAGGCTATTTTCATTTGTTAGTTATTGGTGGACTTACGAGTGCTATGGGAATCAAATGGACTGGACAGTTCGGCCAGAGGCCCACCCGTTACATAGCGTTATCGATAAGGCATAAGGCCTCTGCAGCCGAGCCACTTAAGCAAAATTGAGTAATCATCATTGAAGATGCACTCGATTCGAGTCTGAGCAGCCGAACATTCGTCCAACAGTAGCCGCCGAGTCTGATCTGCTCATATTTTAGAGCTCATATTTCACGGGCTTATAGGGTGCTTCGCATGCACAGCAGCTCGCTACTTTCTTCAGCTCCCATGAATGTCGTGACGGAGAGTCTACACGCACACGCACACACACACGCACTCACACACTCAGTCTTTCTCTCTATTTGTTTGTCTGCTCTGCTCTCTTTGCCGCTTTTACTCTCACTGCAGTTGGCAGCGGATGGCTAGACAAGTGGGCAGCCAGCATTGGGTGGCGAGAGCTCTCTCCTCATTTCTCTCTCTCTCTCTCTCTTGGCACGCTCTCGTTCGCTTGCCGGCGCCGCGTTACATGCGGTGGGCGCTGCTGTCGCTGCCGCTGTCGCTGGCTGCCTTGAGCCGGGCTTCATTGGCGCTGCAGCGGAGTTGGCCAAATCATTCCGTTGGGAAGTGGGAACTGGGAAACGTGTCTGACGGATTGCAACCGCCGCCGGTTCACAGGCAGCAACTCCATATCGTCGTGTTATCGTGCCTCGAGCTGTTGCAAGCGCGCGCATTGGTTGCAAGCAGTTCGTGCGCTTCACTTGTAGCCGTTACGTATGTGTCGACTGCTGCCAAAAAAAAAAACGTAAAACGTAAAGAAAGGATTCCCAACCTGCCTGCCTTTGCCTTAACCTGCTGAACCTGAGCCAGAGCCTGTGGCTGCTATTCGTGCGCGTCTCTTGTATTTATTTTGTTTTGTGCCTCAGTGTTTGTGTTGGTGTTTCTTTTCGTGTTTCGTTTCTTTTTCTTTTTTGTTGTTGTTGTTTCTTTTATGCAACATTCATTTACAACACTGCGCGCAATGCGATTAATTGTGGCAAAAGCCGCTGGAAAATGTTTTGTGTGAGCTGAAGTCGACAAGTATTCAAAATAGTTGCTTATCCATGTTTAATAAACAAACAAACAACAACAACAACAACAACATCAGCGAGAGCAACAAAAAAAAAACGGAATAAAAGCAACCAGTTCAACAATCATTTAATTATTTTTGCAAACAATTGACGCAGCACGATTCAAATAAAAAAAAAGGTTAGTTTTTTTTTGCTGTTTTTCTTTCTTTTTTGTTTTCAACATTTGAGTTCAAAGTACTTTAACATCAATTTGGAAATAATCAGGAAGACATAAGTGCGAAAATAGATTTTTTTTCTGTTTAATAAGCAATAAAAATCATTAAAATAAAGTAAAAATAGATTTGGTCGTCTTCCACACCTCCCTATAAGTGTGGAATGTGTGTGTGTGTGTGTGTGATGCTTGAGGCTTCGTCTGAAGTGTGTGCAATTTTTTATGAAAGTCCATGGCCAGCGATAACGTCTAGCTGCTGTTCATGGTCTATTAATTGTCGGTCTGCCGATTTTCTTTTTAATAATCATAATTTATATATTTGGCCGCAGTTTTTTTTTGGGCTTCTGCCAGAGCTGTGAGAGTGAATCAGGCGAGCAGGCAGAGCGCAACAGACATTGCTCCCTGCCTGGAGCTGCCCGGGAGCGGGACAATCAATCAGACAATTCCTGCATCGAAATGGAAATTGAAATGCATGTGAGAGATTTTCGCGTGTCCGCTAATGCGATTTGTTTCACACCTTCAGGCTGCAGCTCGAATGCAGTGCCAATGTTTTGTTGTGCTGCGTGTTTATTTCTGCAGCAATTTGCGTGCAGAACAAAAGACTTAGGCAACGAACTTGAAATAACATGCGGCTGGAACGCTGCGCTTGCGGTTTTTCCTCTGTGTTTCTGTTTTATTTACCCATATTTGTTGTTGTTTTGTTTTGGACAACCGTATTGCGTGGCTTTCTCCACTTGACAAGCCCAATGCCGATTCTAAGTGCCACTGCTAATAAGCCAACAACAACAACAGCAGCAACAATGTGTGTGGGTCGTCTTCTTGCAGCGCTGGCAGCTGGAGACGAAATCGCATGCTTGCTCACTTGGAAAACAGTTGCTGCCTGCGAAAACTGAACTAACTGAAATGCTATTAATTGCCACTCGCACACACACACACACACACGCAACTAGTTGACTTTCATTGTCTTTGCGGTTTGCCGTTTGTT